ACTGCATTGCTGCCCCACATGCAGCTGCCCCCCTGAACCACAGCCCGCCTCGAACCACTGCTCGCTTGCCCCCCATGCAGCAGCCCGCCCGTACCACAGCACCCCTGCTCCCCACAGCTGCCCCATTGCATCACAGCCCCCTTGCACCCCACACCATGTCCCCCCCCGCCCCACTGCACTGCTGCCCTCCCCCTGCCGCGGCCGCCCTGCACCCAGGGCCCCCCGCGCCGCAGCCCCCACCTTCCTGTGCTGCAGCTTCCTCTGCGCCGCGAAGCGCAGCTTGAGCTGCTGCCAGTAGAGCAGCTCCAGGTCTGCGCGGCGGCACGTCGGCTGCGGCCCCACGGCCCCGCGCTGCCCCACGGCCCCATGCTGCCCCCCACGGCCCCACGGCCCCGCGCTGCCCCATGGCCCCGCACTGCCCCCCACGGCCCCACGGCCCCCCACAGCCCCGTGTGTCTCCCCATAGCCCCACAGCCCTGCGCTGCCCCCCATGGCCCCACGACCCCGCGCTGCCCCCCACGACCCCGCGCTGCCCCGCACGGCCCCATGTGTCTCCCCATAGCCCCACGGCCCCGTGCTGCCCCCCATGTGCCTCCCCATAGCCCCACAGCCTCGCGCTGCCCCACAGCTTCTCCTCCAACCCTGCGGGGCCCCTCGCAGTCACCCCCACGCGGCAGCACTGAGGCTGCAGCCCCAGCCCCGCTCATCCCACACATCCCAGGCATCCCCATCCTGAGCATCCCCAGCCGTGCACCCGCAGCCCATGCACCCCCATCCCGCACATCCCCATCCCACACATCCCACACATCCCCATCCTGAGCATCCCCAGCCGTGCACCCCCATCCCGCACATCCCCATCCCACGCATCTTCCTCACATCCCGCTCACCCCCGTCCCGCACAGCCCGTCCCGCTCACCAGCGAACGTGGGTCCCCCCCGGCGGGCCCTGCTGCCGTCGGCCGCGTTGTTGTCTAGGAGAGTCGGAGACGAGAGAGGCCGGATGGACGGGAAGCGCCGGGAGAGCCCGGGTCCCGCGGGGCCGGGACCGGGCGCACGGGGGTCCCGGGGTCCCGGACACGGGGCGGGCGGCAGCTCGACCCCCCTGGCCCCCGAGCCGAGCGGAGCCGCGGGAAGGGAGCCGGGAGCCCCGGGAGCGCCGGGAGCCGAGGCCACCTCCGCAACGGGGCGCAAGGACCTGCCGTCCTCAGCGGGAAGGGGCCCGCTCCCCAGCGGGAATTGCTCCTCGCTGCGACAACCGCAGCTCTGGGCATAGGGAAAACACACGGAGCACCGGAGCGCAGCTGGGCGCTGCCGGGGACGAGGCACCAGCGCGGGCAGCCCCCTCAGCCCTCGCGCCCGGCTCCGGGCAGAGCTCTGCGCCCAGCCTAGGAGCTGGCGCCGGAGCAATCCCGGCCGTGGGGATCCGGCATTCCCGAGGGCTCCCATCCCAGGCACGGAGCCTTCACGGCCGGGCCCAGGCGGCTCCGCGGCGCCCGGCTCCGCTCCCCTCTGCGGCCCTTCCAAGCGCGTCCGCTCCGCGGGGCCTTGCCCGGCACGGCCAGCCCTCCGCGGCGCCCCGGCCACGTTATTCGGTTCCAGCCTATCCCCCCCTTTCTGCTGGAATTCCTTGGCTAAGGCCGAGTCCCCATCCCGAGGGAAGAGCCGCAGAGGTGACGGAGGCAGCGCCGCGCACGCGGGGCGCAGGGGACGGAGCGAAGGCGCCGCGGGCATCGGG